CACTTGTAACGCCCCGACCGCCCACGACTAATGAGCAACCCACACCCTCTCTCTCGGCCCGTGGGCTCCATCCCGTTCCAACGGCCGGTCCGTTAATTTTCCAATGCTCTAGAGTCATGTTTACTGACCCTGCAATCACCACCCAACCTTTCCCCGTGCTTTGGCCTCACTTACACGGTATTGCAAATCACTTCCGATAGGTCACCCATCCTTTGACTACTCCAGCTCAAGCACGCTTAGCTCTGGAGTTCTCTCTGGATGTGCTCCCGAAAAGGTAAGTGCACTTTGCTGACATAGGTAGTCAAATCAATTCTTTTAAGCCTTTCCGTATATCAGAATTCGGGATGTTACATTATCATTTTTCTTCTTCTAAATATACCATAGTATCCAAGTAAAGGAATTAAAGTCATATTCCTTTGGGAGCCTCTAAAAGAGGAAGTCAATGTTCGTAAACACTGAGGAGGTAGGAAAAATACCCATGGGAGATGGTATTTTTGATAACGCTCACGTTTGCAATGCCAGGGGGCATTCCAACAGAACATGATTAATGGTTTCTTCCTCTGTACTACAAATGTGACAATACTGATCACAATCAATACCTCGTGTCTATTATTCGCCACTAGGAGAATTTCTCTAATAGCTTGCCAAAGAAAATGTCTCAACTTTGGCGGGCATGCTAAATTCCAAGTATGACCTAACAACGGGTTAACATATTGCCCTAGAGTAGCCGTTGTTGGTTCCTTATCCGGATATAGGGATTATGTTTTAAAACCTGATTTAACAGTGTATTTACCAGTCTCTGTGAACATCCACCCACAAGAATCTGGTTGGTGAAACCGACTGATTGCCAATCCTTAGATAATTTTCACATCATCAGGATAAATATATGCGTTAAGCAGCTCAACATTCCATGTAGAATTTATCGGGTTGGTAAGGTGTTCCACTTTTAAAGAAGGATTTAAAAATTGGGGTTTGTTTTTTGGTTGTGCTGACCTTGGGCGAGAAGCCGGAATCCACAGATAGAGATAGATTTTTTGTTTCCCACTCTTTTGATTAGCCTTTTTTAACCAGATATCTAGCATATCATATACTTTTCCAACCATAAGATGGTGAGTAAGATTTGTGTTGATCCAAAGGATCAGATTTCCAAAAATAACGTCCTTTGAAAACTCTTGAAAATAAGCAATTTGGTTTTTCTATTAATCGCCATAATTGCTTTGTCAATAATGCAGTATTAAAGTTCTGACGATCATGAAAACTTAAACCTCCCTCGTCCTTGTGTTTACATACTTTATCCCTGAATTTCCTTTTTATTACTATTACTGCTCCGCCAAATGTGAGCTAAAGCTCCTGTAGTTTTCTTTGTTGTTGTCTTAGGTAATTTATAACAAGACATAAAATGATTCGGCATCGTAAATGCGACAAATTTAATCATTACCTCTTTCCGCCTTTTGTTAGGATTCTAACGGTCTAACTATTGACCTAATTGTTGACCCTTTCATTCACAAACCCAAAAACCTGAACTTTTGATCCGCCCAACTCTCAGGAATACCCAAATAAGTACACATACCGCCCAAATTTGTGATTCCTAAATGTGCGGTAATTTCCAATCTTTTTTTCTGGGGGACCTTGTGACCAAACTGTAGGGATGACTTATCAAAATTGATTAGTTGTCCCGACACAGTCTCATAATCCTTTAGAAGCTGAAGAATAACTCCACATTCCTCCAGTGTAGCTTTACAGAAAAATAAACTATCTTCCGCAAAAAGAAGATGAAAAATCGATGGGCCACCACGTGACATTTTTAAACCTGTTAAACGCCTCTTTCTTTCTTCTTTCTTATTATATGCAATAAGAGTCTCCGTACACAAAATAAATAAATTTGGTGACATGGGATCTCCCTGTCGCAATCCTCTTTCCGGGGCAATCATCCTTTTCGGTTGTCCATTAAGCAAAACCTTATATGTAACTGATGAGAGACACTTCATTACCCGACAAACCCAAGTCGAACAGAAGCCAATTTTCAATAGGAGCCATTGCATAAAAGACCATTCAATCTTATCATAATCCTTGCTTATATCCGTTTTAATAGCCATACGTTTTTCCTTGCAAGCATTATTTGTTCGTAAACTGTGAAACATTTCTTGAGAAATGAGAATATTATCAGAAATTAATCTTCCAGAGACAATAGCAGATTTTGTCTCTAAGATCAACCTAGGGAGTAATACTTTCAATCTCTGACATAACACCTTGGAAATAATTTTGTAACCAACATTACAAAGACTAATAGGCCGTAACTCTGTCATACGATTTGGTCTTGCTGTTTTAGAGATCAGATAGATGTTAGTCGAATTAAGTCATCATCAAAATTTCCTGAACTTAGAAAATCATTAACCATATTAACACATCATCCTTAATTACTGACCATGATTATTGATAGAATAAAGCCATCATGCCATTAGGACATGGAGTTTTTTCAGGATGCATCATAAATAGTGCCGTTTTAACTTCCTCCTCCATATTCAAGGCCATTAACCTCAAATTTTAAGCCTCTTTAACCAATTCTGGGACTTCCTCCAAAAAACTATCGAAGCCAGAAGAGGAAGTTGATTGAAATAAATCCTGAAAATATTTAACCACCACACCTTCAATCTCCACGTCTGAGTTAATCTAGTTCCCCTCCTCATTATACAATCCAACAATTATATTTTGAATCCGTTTTTGCTTTGTTAAAGCATGATAAAACTCTGTATTCCTATCACCACATGTATGTCATGTAGTCCTATTTTTTTTGTTCCTAGTATAGTTCCTCATCCTTATATGCCCCTTTTAATTTCCGCGAGACCTCTACAACCTTTTCATGCGATTTTGACAAATCATTTTGGACCTCCTCGAGAGCCTTTTGTAAAGTATTAATTTTTCTTTCCCATATGGTGGGTCCCCTTTTCGCCATACAATCGCATGCCGATAATTATTAATATTATCGACCAAACATTTCTGTCGTCTATTTCCCTGCACTGCCCAGCCCCGTTCTATCGAGTCCATCAAACCATCCTCTCCAATCCATCTTTTATCAAACCGAAACTGTCTGCAAATTTTTTTTAAAAACTCATCAATGGTAGCCAATACAAAAGATGTCTGAAGCTTATCATTCCCAATTATTTAACACAAGAACATGAAAACCGACACTTGACAACATGACCTCCTCTTCGTCCACTCCAAGAGAGTGTGTTCCCCAGACTCAGAAACTCCAATAAACCGCAATTCTGAATCATATTATTAAAAGAAAGAAAAGAATCTGCATGGTGCAGGGCCCCTACTTGTTGTTCATGGTTCACTGTAATCTCATTTAAATCACCAATAATGAACCATGGTTCATCTCTAGAAATGCCAAATCGCGTAACCTCTCCCAAACCTGATCCTGAAGACCTTGATTTGGTTCCCCATTAACAAAAGAAATAAAAATATGTTTACCTTTATACTCCGTTTTAACATCAATAATTCTGTTATTTGAAGGAATAATATTTAAATTAAGAGTAGAGTAATAGAAAAGAGTCAGTCCACTATTTCAATCTTGAGGATCAACCGTATGAGGATGAGAGTAACCAAAATGAAATTGAAAAGACTGGAAAAAATTAAACTATTGTTTTGATTCCGAAAGAAAAAGAAAACTTGGTTTGTGTTTCGACCAAATTTCTCTCAAGTAACTAATAGTCCACTTACTTTCAATACCTTGACATTCCCAACTTAAAATTTTCATTTAACTGGAGACTGGATTAAAAAAGACACAAAACAGATACGATGATGGAAACATATATTGATTAGAATAAAAATTTCTGGCACTTTTAACCGAATTACCAGAAGGGCCTAAAGAAACTCATATCATTTTAACAAACCCCCATGTGCAAAAAGACCTTTTACCAAGTGAAGAGAATAACATCCATTGTAGGAACGGTTGCTTATTCCTAACTATTTTTTTATCACATCCCCACGTAACAAAAACAGATAATAAAATGGGATACCTCACGCATCCCACACTCCAAAAGAGCTCTGATATCGGACTCCCAAACACAGATGATTCAAATAGAAAAAACACAACTGTAACAAAACTCCAACAATGTATTATTATCATACAGAGCAATCTACTACCAATATTTTCCCTTTCAATGGAGCTCATAGTGCCTTCATCATGATAAGCTGTCGGTCCAATACATCTCATCCATAAACCCGTAATACCCCACTCCAAGTGTAAGCCTTTTGACCTCAATACAATCGCATAGTTATAATACAAAAATGACATCATTCTCACAGGCACAATTGACTCAAAAAGAAGAAACTCAGCCACAAAAAAACTCCAAACACTTGACATGTTGATATTACTCCATCGTATACCATTATGTGTCCGAAAAAACTCAAATTACCTTCATGATGATAGCCTCCCACGGAGACGTATCTCAGCCATAAAACCTCAATTCACCAAATCATTTGTAACCCATTAGACCTCAACAAAACCGAAAACTCAGAGGAGAAACATACCTCCGTTAATCTACGATCAAACAAATACAAAACCATTGAGAAACTATACCACGGAGTCAAAGACAAATCAACCATGAAAAGATCTTGTGGTCACCAGAAACAAATATTAAAGTAACCAAAGTCCCTAGTCTCGACACCAGTATAAGGCCATAACACAAACCTTTTATTCGAAACATGGAAACAAAAAAAAATCCGAACATTCAAACTCAACATCAGAAATCCCTGATGAAAAAACCAAAATACTAAAAGAAAACTTAAACACCTGTCTTAACAACCTTCTTCTGTGAAGCTTTATCAAGATTATCATGCATTACATTGGGGTTGGAATTGATCACCGGTCCATGCTTCTCCTCTGCACCACCATCAGTAGTCACCGTCTCCCCCAGACCACCATCTGTAGTCACCATCTCTCTTCCTCCATAAACTCTGGCACCTCACTTTGCTCCCATTCATCACCAAGTAACTCAAAGTCCGGTATCAGTACTCCCTCCACCAAAAGATGCATCATCCAAAGAAGAATGGAGATCATGGTCCACAGTCTCAATATCTTCCTTCATACCGTCCTCCCCATCCTGCACCTTCTCACCTAAAGTCTGTTGAGTCTCTTTGATCGAGTCTTCAGACATCACCACATTGATTTCTTCATCAAACTGGAGAGACTTACGAGCCCTTGAATGACTCCCGTCTCCACCACAGAGTCTTGATGTTCCTTATTTACCATTGGAGACTGATTGATCCCTTTGAAAGAATCCATCATGAGTTTCTGGGGATTAGATAGGTTATGTCCATCTTCTCTGTTCTGAAAGTTTTTCAAACCCCTCGCATTGATAGCAAATTGAACACTCTTCTGCCTCCCACCCCGTGATGATCCCTCTCCATTACCACATGAGATCCTTTCCTTATAGGCACGATATGCTTCATCTTGTCGGAAATATCATTGTTTTTCGCGAGCAAGACCCTTACCTTTATTGCTATCTTTCATCACCCTTGGCAGTTGTTCCTCTCGATAATCCTCTCCGGACTCTCTCCCATTAACCATGCACCTTTGTAACTTGTAACTTGCATTCCATGATCAGATTTCAGTCCTGCCATCACAACACCATCTTCCACCATAGTTATCAAACTTGGACACCTCGACTTGTCATGTGTTAAGTAATGATAGTGTCTACCGAAACAAAAAAAGCTTCTGATACCTTAACGAGACCACTAGCTCCACACCTTCATCAAAGTCAAACACCATAGTGAACACTAGAGGTTTATACTTTGTAGCCGTCCAATTCCACTTTAACTCTTCCTTCTATTAGATTAACCTCATCGTGGACCTGACCAATAACTTCTCTAATACTTTCAAATGTTGATGCAAAAAAAAACTGAAGAGGGACATCGAGAACACGAACCAATAATGTGATCTTGGAAGGGTAGTTAACATCTAATATAAGCTTCCAACGAAGAAGCGAGAGCATCCAGTAGTCAATGTGGAAAGGTTCCATCTTCAGCACCTCAAGGATATCTTCTTTATCATGGAACTGGAAACATCCCAACCCCAAGTCAGAACCAGTCACTCGCCCCTCTAATTGACAGACTCTAGGAAGCATGAACAGGAGGATCTTCATATCATGCTTGAGAGGATTCAAGTCCGAGCAATCAGCTCAGTGGTTTCAAAGCGAGGAACCGAGATTTTCATTCTTGGCTTAGCCATCTCCACCTTCTTTCCTCTCGATTGCACCATCCATTGACCTTGTGTTATTGTCACCCGAAAAGAACCACATAAGAAGTGAAAAGATAATCTTACTACAATGAGAATAGGAAAGAGAAATAAATGTTGAGATAATTGTTTATAGTATCGTAATAGTCCTTTAAATACTACCAGTATATTATACTTTAAAATCATAAACAAATAATCCTCAAGATACTCAACGTAAATGCAAAATCCAAAGAGATAAGTAGAGATATGATATTGAGGAATTTATATTCTAAGGACAAGCCAACTAAATATTCTAGGATCCGTTCCAGAGCTACTCTTGCTTTTCATACGATTGCAAATAAAAGAAACCATTAAAACAAATCTCGTTCCCATAACATGTCCCCAATCATCACCACAATCTACATAGAGATAACAATCTTCCCAAAATAAATGACATAAACACTTACTAAAGAGACGTACTCAAAGCCTCTTTGAATGAAGCCGAATCGCATCCCTTGATCCCAAATCCTGAGATTGAGACGCTGTAAATCTTTTAGCCAAATAATGAATATACGATAATATGAGACGATCCCTGACCCTAAGATCCATCGAATCTCCATTGTCCTCTTCGTAATCACTAAACCCAACCAAATACCCTTACTTCCCACAAACCGTACGAATCTGATACCAGAGATCTCATCATTTACCGGAAAAAAAAAAACCCGAAAAGGAAATATCACTCCAACCCATATCCAAATAGAATGGAGAGAGATCTCTCATCGTCCTTAGGAAGAGACAGTCGCCAACGCCGTCGCTAGTATGTTTTTTTTTCTTTTTTAGTAATTTTATTTTTGAGCGTTTTTCTTTTTTAATGTGAGTTGGTTGTTTATATTTTATACATGTAAATATATTAGTTTATCTTCCAATAAAATGTACAGTGTTATTCAATATAATATCAATAAATTAAAATAATGAATTATTTATATTTTTTAGCTTGAATAAAATATAAAATTGTTAGTGAATAGTCTAAGTATTAATTAATTAGAGAATAAATAAGAAATACTAAAATATAAGAGTATTAATGACAAAACCTGTAATATAATACTTGAAAAAAAAGAATCAATATTTATATAGTTATTAGTAAAAATAATTAATGAAATAGTTAAGATAGAAAAAATGTGAATAAATATTCTTTGAAACAATTTAAAAATTAATACGTTATATTTTGTATTTTTGTTTTAATAGGTTAGATTTTTTATGTATTTATTTATTATTGTCCTTCCATTCTTGACTTGCAATCATTGACTTATATATGTACCCCTGAAAACATGGTAAGTGGAACCGACCCTTACGCCACAGAAATTAAATGTAGTGGACCAATTGACGGACAAGTTGACGTTACTTTTTTTTACTAGACTTTACGAGTGAGGGTTTGGCAAAATATACGTAAATTTTGATTCGATTCGTTATATGTTTCGATTCGAATCGAAAAATTTGGATATTCGTAATTCTACGATATCCGTAACTCTACGAAACAAAGCAAATATTAAAATATGATATTTGTAAACGAAGAAGCAAATAACAAATACTAATATTTTTAGGAACGAATATTCGATCGTATATATACATATATTTAAAGAAGTATATATAAAAGTTATATAAATATTATATTTTATTTATGTTTTCCAAGATTTTTATTTATTAAATTTATTATATTAGTTATTAGAATTTTTAAAATTAATTAAATTTTATTTTTGTAATAAAATATTATAATTTTATATTATTTTGGATTTTTATTTATTTTTAAAAATTTTATTTTATTTTTACGGATCGAATCGGATATCCGGTAAAATTCTAAAGTTTTCTGGATATCCGGGATGACGAATATCCGAAAGGCTATGGATCAAATTGAATCGGATAATTGATTATTCGAATGAAACAAATCCGATCACGAATATCTCCGAATACTCGGATATTTGCTTTGTGTCCATCCCTACGAAGACATATATATTTGGCTCTTATTTATTTCTTGCTCGTAGCGCGCAGGATCGAAATATTCTTGGACTGATCACCAAAGAAACTCAAACCCGGACACGTGTGGTATAGATCATCATACAAGCGAAAATGCTTTTTTTTTTGTTTTTTGGTCAACAGTAAATGGTTTTGTATGATTACGAATTTCTTTTTCTTCGAATCATATGATCTTTTGTGATTATGAAAATACTTCTTCGTATTTTCATCAGGGGAAAATGATAGATGGCTGACAAAAAAGTCAAGTTTCGGTGTTAATATGAACACACACATCTAAGTTAGGCACTTTTGAAGCACTAATAATGTGCACTTCTTCTCTTGACGACTTAGTTGTTATATAGCCACCACATATTTAAGAATCTTGATTGGAGATCAGAAACCTTCTCACCCTTCTTGCTTGGCAATCAACTTTATATTGGATCTGGAACGAGAGGAACACTAGGCTGCATGCAAATACATACCGATCCAACGAATCTCTCTTTCTTCAGATCGATAGGTAGGTGAGGAACAAGATCCAGAGCTTTAGAGATTTAAACCCTGCTCGATCTTCCCAAATGTTGCAACACTGGTTTTCTCTCCAGTGATGTAAGCTCTCTGATCAGGATCTCGATCTTTCTATTGTCTCACGGGCTTCCTCTATTTCTCTCGTTTTCTCATTAACTCTTCAACCATTTACGACATCAATTCATCTCCCATCTCCTCAACTGTCTACAGAACTCTCCTAATGGGTTTCACTATGGGTTTTAATTGGGTTCCTTATTGTGATTCAACTGAGCTTTGTACTAAACTAAAGCTTTTAGCTTATAAATTTTTTTGGTCTTGTGCTGCAATTTAAGAATGTCTTTTTAAAAAAAAAAAAAAAAGAGAGATTAGAAACCTTCTGATTTTAACAGGTTCGGCTTATAATACACTTGGACCTAGTGCTGGGTAAAACAGATTTTTTACAATTTTGGCACACTATTATTATAAATGTTGGAAAACAAGATCTTAAACTATGTGTTTTCTACAAAATAGAGTCCTAAGATCACCATTATCCAGGTCTCTTAGATGAGTTTTTAAGGATAATTACAATTAAAAGAAAAAGAAAAATAGCAAACAAAACAAGGAACGTATACTAAATAGGGACTTGAACAAACCGTCTCTTATTTGCCACGTGTTATTGGGGAAGCAATTTTCTGTGTTCTGTCTCTCTCTCTCTCTCCTTTCCTCCCGAGAATTGCTTGCATGTGAGGTGATTCAAGCATCTGTTTTTTGAATCAAAAGGTAAAAGGTTTGTTGTTTTGTGATTGTATTTGGAGTTTGAGAAGGGAAAAATAGGATCTGACTTTGATCGTGCTCTACTACCAGCACACAAAGATGAGGAAGAAGTTTGATCAGAAGAAGAATGAGGAAGAGGTTGTTAAGTTGCAGGAGAAATATGATTTGGTTCTTTGTTGACACTGAAAATCTTGTGTTTAGCATTGTAGGAAGTAAGAACTTAATAACTCAAGCGTTGAAGGCAGTTGGTCGTGATAACTAGAGTCACCATCTTAACTTTGCAGTAGTAGAAGGTGTGGAAGTGAGTGAAACCGGAGAAGAAGAAGATGTAAAGAAATCTCTCATTTGGTGGTTGTGAATGATGTTTGTCTTTCCATGCTTTCATCTGGAGAGTCTTCTCTTTCCGCCTGAGTCCTCATCAACTACAAGCTTCCTACTAAGAAGGATGCTTATACAAGGCGTTTAACAACTTGCTTAGCTTCAGGTTTGTGTCTTTCTCTATCTCTAATCTTTTCCAGAGCTATAATTTTGTATAAATTGATCCAAGAATATCTGAGATTTTCTTTCCATGAGATGAGATTCTACCTGTCGTCACTAACCTAGGAAGCTGTCTGAAGATTTCTTATGTCATATTTGCCTTTTTGTTCTACTTTCTTTCTCAGTGCTCTCAAAGGTATGTTTTGTCTTTATGCTCTGTTTTTCTCTGCTTCCAGATTGATCTCTTCAAACATCACTTGTTCTTGATCAAAGGTTTGAAGTTTTATTTCATATATATGCAGGTCTGATCGTAGGTCCAATAGCTGATTATGAACCTAGTACATTACTTTTTATTTGTTCTGTGTTGGCCCATATGATGGAGAGAGGAACAAAGAGTATGAGAAGAACAAACATAGCTCTCTGCATCTGTATACCTAGCTTCCCGTACAGCTTTTCTCCGTATGCTTGGCCACACAGTGTCTCCAACAGACTCGATGTTCCCAACTGTTCAGACACAATAGAGGAACTCAACAATGAAGAAGCATATACAAAAGATTTTGGAGCATATGATGGAGTGGATGAGAGCATAGGTGTGTTGAGAATGTTTTATATATTTTTTTTAAGAATCATAATTAAGAGACTTGCAATAAACCATCTAAATGCT